CTTTCGATTTCTGAGAGTCGATGAACGCTGAGTGTGCACGAATACAAGTGTTTCCTTTAATTTATACCTTTTAAAGAAAAGTGTGTCGATGCGCGTTACACGCACTATAAATGGAAGCTATCCTTTTTTTTACGCTTGCTTATGTTTAATGGAAAGGTAAAGGAATTTTTTAAATGTGTGGTTGACCTTTTTTTGACTTTTGCGAAAACATTTCCCCCTTCATTAATAAAATTTTATGCTGTAAATAATTTACTGATTTTACAAATTATTTTGCTATAATAACAAATTGTTTTATTGCGACAGTAAAATGTATTTTTGTTAATTGACAGTGAATTTTTAATTGGCACTAAATTGATCTACTTTTATGAATACACTCATTGAAGAATTATCAATAAAATATTTGTAATATATCTTAATCTCTGTTTGAAAAACTTGTAATATCAAATAGTTGATTATGCAGCAACAAGTTTGATGGCACCTAGTTCAAGTGCAGCAATACAATTTTGCTACTGTAACCGATTTCTTTTCTTTTATGTAACTTTTCTTCTGTGACGTTTCCTTATTTTTCTACGTCAATGGAAACTGACACAGTTGGAAGTGTTCTTCTCTGTTTGAAAAAAGAAAGTGAGAGATCAGAGAGAAAGAGTAAAGGGAAGCGGACGCGGAAGGGGATATCTTTCACATGAGAAACTAACGGTCTGCTGAATTATTTAAGACGTGCTTGTGCAGTCCGCGTGAAGCAGATTCCCTTGCGTACGCAACACCGGCATGCAACACATTCGTCAGCTTCTGCGTACCAATGAGAATCAAATATAGCCGGGCTTTCTCCATTGTACATAGGGTTGTCACAAGTTCGCTACCTTGTACATTGCGCACGTAGATATTATTGAATTGTATTCTATAAATATTACATATATAGTCTTCTTTTTTCTTACAATTACATAGACGATAAAGAAATTAGTATTGCTGATGAGTTGCGTTTAACATAAATATTTCGAGTAGTGACGCAATGTTTCGTTATAAAAGCAAACTAAAAAATTTTACATTCTGTTTTCTATACCTTCTTTTAAGTCACATTACTTGTTGAAAAACTCAATAAAGTAAAACTCAAAGAAACTGTTTTTTTCATTTTTTAAGTTTCTTCCTTCTCTATCTTAATTTAAACAATTTTTTAATTTTACCGTACGTGTTACACGTATTGCACATTTATTCATTCAATATTCTCTTGGCGTGCATCAAGTATACATCTTGTGGAGTATGAACATAACGAAGGATTTATTTATACAAGGGATATCGCGTCTGTTGACCATTCAGAAAAATATCGCGCCAACAAAACGATACGACATGTCAGATCCCCACAATCGATTCACGCTTTGTGTCTGGTAGATAAAAACGAAACGTTCGTTTTATTTACCAGAATATATTACCGTGAGCAAGTTTTATACGACGCGATTAGATGTGTGATAAAATGACTGCTACGACGCGAACTTTATTTGCATCTCTAATTTCTGCCTAGCATATACGTATCAAAGCCTGACAAATAAATCGCTCTTGTAGAGTAAGCGAAATGAGATACTCTGGAATTAAATGGACGTAACTCGATACTACCTTTACGCCTCGTTCTCATTGAAAATCTCAGATCAACGTAGTGTTCACAATAGCAAGTTTTTTGCCCACCGTTTCATCAATATGCAAGTTTCGAATAAATGTAATATTGAGAAATGTCATAACTTTTATAAAATCTTACTATAGCAAAAAGTACGTATAGTATATAACACAAAGTATAAGACTGTTCCAAATTTAATTTTTTAGTAAATAAAACTGCACTCTTTTCCCGTTTCCTCACATACTATTATATTTTTGCAATTTTTACGTAATACTTATTACGAAAACTGACAAGTCGAATAGACTTATATTGAACAATTATTGATATTTTGGACAACGATTTCTTATGATGAACTATGATAATTACATTGAACACCATCAAATATGTATGGTAAAAAAAAAAACGACATTTTATTTCCCGTGTAAATGGCACTCGACATTAGCAAAAGCGATGAGACAAGTCGTGTATGAGCGTAAAAGCAGTGAAGAACTAACTATCGATTTATTGTCAGGCGTGTGCTTCGAGCGCATGACGATAAAACGTTTGCGTCTCAGCAAAACCACCTACGGTCGCGGTACGCTGCAATAGTAGGTTCACCGTTAGAACTCCCACCGCGCGCACAAAGCTGTCCAGTTTGCATCGTTTCTGCACGCAATATTTTATATAACGGTTGCGCCAACAATTCGATACTTAAGAAATTGTATATTTCCACAGTTAATTACGACCGCATGAAAGGCCCATTCGTTTGTATAACTCGGAAGATATTTTATTTATAATTTTAGATATCCTTTCTTTTTTAGATAATCTTTATTATGAGAAACATTGAAAAATCAGAATGCATATACGTATGTAAAATAAATATCAAAAGAATATATTTGTATATAAATATATAATTATAATAAGGCTCAATAAATTTAAAAAATAATAAAAATATATAATACATGTAAAATCAAGAATAAGAAAACTGGTTTTTTTTTTTAAATTCTAGACGCAAATTAAGAACCGTCTAATGTTGGCTCGAAGCTATTTTCATTTATTAATGGTATAATAAAGAATCTACCCCTTATTTAAAAAAAAAAGTTATTTTTACACGTGCAGGATTATATATTATTAGTTATATTATTAATAGGATTGGACTGTACATATATTAAAAAGCTGTATATTGTTATGAAACTTCAACAGATTACTCTTGTCCTATACATTTTTACGGCTTCTATTGTGTGGCTTTTGCAACTACACGCTACAAATATTTGCGTTTGTTAAACTGACGTAGTTTCTGTCTCTGTGTACCACCCAGAGATATTTACGCGACATTCTATTTAGAGATTGTAACAATCCTGATATTTATTGTCTTCCGTGTAAGCCGAATGTACGGTTTTTTCATGTCCATTGACTTGACTTGGCTTTCATCCCGGCCGAGCTAGACTATTAGATACAGATATTTCAACTTACAGAATATTTTTAAAATCATCAGACGTTATTTTTTGTAGATTTTTTGGTCGATTTGAAAATATTTTTAAGCGTCCATGAACAATTAAAGACAAAAATAGGAGATTTCGAAGTAAGCTTTAGAAGCGTAACGATTAAAGACAACGTCATATTCTTCAAGTCAATTCCCAGCTAGAAATGATAATGGAATTGACGTTGATTCAACGTCGAAATTATGAAATTGACATCGAATCGACGTCGATTCAATGTCGAAATCATCAATTTGATGTTGAATCGACATCGATTCTATTATCATTTCTGACTGGATTTCGACTCGTATATCAATAAGTAACAAAGTAGAAATATTGATATGAGTAACAAAGTAGTTTTAATTCGAAACGTAGCTTTGAATATATGTACGATAGAATTGAAATGGTAATAAATGACGACTACAAAAGTAGTCGAAAAGAAGTATGCGATTAAAAGGAACATCCGGTGGCTCTGCAATATCCTGTAGAATCAGTTGAATATAGGTTACGGTAGGGGGGATATCTGGTATATATCCACTCGGAATACGAGGGTTCGAACACAGGAAAGAAGGGGTCGACTCAAGGGTGGGAACAGACAAAGATAGTCGGATTTCTGTCAGCTTTTGTTACAGACTGCACGGCGCCTCACGCGTTCTAAATCTACAGTTAATTACTAACCCGCGTTGTATGATTCAAAATACGCCGGTCAATATGACTCATCTACTTCTCGGAATTAATGTCGATTGTATTAAAAACGATTGACGAGACATTCAGACGAAAATGAATGTTTAAATGTATGAAATGAGATATACGACCGAATTATTTTTTACGTATATTAAAATTGTTTTGAGTACATGAGCAAAGAAAATAGACAAAAAATTATTATGTCATTGAATTTGCGATTTAATATTAAAACATTTAGTTATATATTAATCGTAATAGTCATTTGAAATTTTTTTTTCTCTGAAAACACAAAATTTATCAAACACATGCATTTTTGAAATTAATTATCTAATAAAATTAACTATTAGATTTTATTTTCCAGCAATTCTGTTGTTGAAAAAGAATTTTGAATACGTTTCCGAAGCGTGTTGTATAATATATAATCTTAAAAAAATTTGTAGCTAGTAATAAAACATCTTATATATGCGTTCATCTTACATATGTACGTGGGATAATCTCTATTTTCCTCTTCTTCTCTCTCGCAGCAAATTACACGTAGTTAATTCCTAGAAATATATTTGCGTGTAGAACTTTACACCTACGTGTCCTTGCATTCCTGTAAATGAACTAATAATTCTGTCGCATCGCAGAAATGCGCCAAGAATATCCAAAGAAGCACAATAAACTTCGATTCGCTGTAAATCCTTCAAGCACTGCCGTTTACGAAATTGTACTATATAAAAAGGTTTCTAAGACATGATTAAATTCTAATCTAATTGTTTAAGAAATCATGAATTCGATCTATAAAATCTATACAGACTCTATGATAATTAAAAGTATGACATTTTGCGCGAGATTGTTTTAAACATTTGAGTTTTACTTCACAAGTATATATCCATATATAATAAAAACATGCAATTTTAATGAGTTTTAGAGAAAGAGAATACAATAGATACTTTTATATCTTATTCAAGATAAAACAAAGAAAAGAAAATAGTTGGATCTGATTCTTGAGAGGAAAAAAAAGAAAGTTGTGTACAAGAGAACCTTGAATGAACATTCCAATATTTGATTCGATATTTGTGTGTATGTGACTATAATACAATATTTAAATTCATTTATTTAACAAGCGTATTCAAATTTATTTGATTTGATGAAAATATGAATATATAAAAAAAATATAAAAATACAAAAATGTGGGGAAGGCTTTTTAAATTTTATTTGAATAAAAATTTATCTTCAGATTTTGAAGTAGAATATTTCATCTTTTTCAGAGTGATCCTAGTACTGCATTTTTACGGGCAGCTCGTGCTGGGCAACTCGAGAAAGTTTTGGAATACTTGGAATCTGGAGTAGATATTAACGCTTCTAACGCCGTAAGTAAATTGTCGCTTTCCGCGGATTTTGACGTAGCGTATAAGCGTGTACATATTATCTCGCATCAGTCTTGAAGAATCGTTCCTTAACTAGAATGAATTTTATATATTGCAGAATGGCTTAAACGCTTTGCACCTGGCAGCTAAGGATGGCCACTTGGAAATCGTGAGAGAACTCCTAAATCGTGGCGCAATTGTGGACGCCGCTACCAAAAAGGGAAACACGGCATTGCACATAGCTTCTCTTGGTAAGCGTGCACACGTTTTCATCTCTCTGTCTCTTTTTCTTTCTCTTATCCTATCTTTGCTCATCGTATGGATTTCTGGTCGCTTGTTAAATGCATACGGGACAAGGACGCGAATGATTTTAAACATTTATTTCTCTCGAGGCTTACGATATCTCACATTGCAAAGCGCGAGATCTCTCTGCGAGACGAATAATCCGCTTGACATCAATTTTTTTTTCAGCTGGACAAGAGGAGGTGGTACAAGTGCTAGTACAACGAGGTGCTTCTGTGAATGCACAATCGCAAAATGGGTTCACGCCACTGTACATGGCTGCCCAGGAAAATCATGACTCTGTGGTCAAATACCTCCTCTGCAAGGGTGCGAATCAAACATTGGCCACTGAGGTTTGTGTGAAATACTGTTTCATCATTTATCAACGAGATTTTGTCGCTGTCAAATTTTGAAAATGTATATTTATTATTTTTACAAATCTCTGTCTTATTTTTCAATAAAATTAATATTTATAATAATAATTATATCTAGTTCAACAATTATATAAATATGCACGTTTCTCTTCGTACAATAGGACGGTTTCACTCCATTGGCGGTGGCTATGCAACAGGGTCACGACAAGGTAGTAGCCGTTCTATTAGAAAATGATACCCGTGGTAAAGTTCGACTGCCTGCTCTACACATCGCTGCTAAGAAAGACGATTGCAAAGCGGCTGCCCTACTTTTACAAGTGAGTTATCGTACTGCTTTATTAGACTTGTATTTTAAATGATAATAGTGATAGATATAGGAATCAGTCCTTTTATAATTTCTTTAATTTTTCTTTAATTTTTCTCTCATCACAGAACGACCATAATCCCGATGTAACATCGAAAAGCGGTTTCACTCCGCTTCACATAGCCGCACATTATGGCAACGACCGAATCGCTTCCTTGCTTTATGACAAAGGCGCGGATGTTAACTTTGCGGCAAAGGTACGCATAACTTTTACAGAGAAAAAGAAGGATTAAAATATTATCGAATTGCTCTAAAAATATACTCTTTTTATAATTTCAGCACAATATCACGCCAATGCACGTGGCAGCAAAATGGGGTAAGATTAAAATGGTTAATCTCCTCATGAGCAAGGGAGCAAACATCGAAGCGAAAACGAGAGATGGTTTAACTCCTCTACATTGCGCGGCCAGGTCCGGCCACCATGAAGTAGTTGACATTCTCATTGAGAAAGGAGCACCCATTGGCTCAAAAACAAAGGTATGAATCGGCCGCATGCGTCTCACCGTGGCAAAATATTTTCCTCTCTTGTCGAGATTAATTATACCATTTGGTTTTTGTTGACAGAATGGTCTTGCCCCGTTACACATGGCTTCTCAAGGGGATCACGTTGACGCCGCGAGAATTTTATTGTATCACCGTGCACCCGTGGATGAAGTGACGGTGGATTATTTGACTGCGCTGCATGTGGCTGCACACTGCGGTCACGTACGCGTAGCTAAACTACTTCTTGATAGAAATGCTGATCCAAATGCGCGAGCGCTCAACGGATTTACCCCTCTTCATATCGCATGCAAGAAGAATCGTATAAAAGTCGTCGAACTCCTCCTGAAGCACAAAGCGAGCATCGAAGCTACAACTGAGGTATGACATTTTCAAGTTCCTCTTCTTACATTTCTTTTAACTTTATTTATTACATTACGTATGTATACTTATTCCCAACGTTTACGAGATTACATATGGTTGCAAATATTTTAAATGAAAATGAGCGATGTCATATATATTCTTTCACAGTCTGGATTAACTCCATTGCACGTAGCGAGTTTTATGGGATGTATGAATATCGTGATTTACTTACTTCAACACGAAGCTAGCCCTGATATACCGACAGTGAGAGGCGAAACGCCATTACACTTAGCTGCCAGGGCGAACCAAACTGATATTATTAGGATACTTCTTAGAAACGGCGCCCAAGTCGACGCTAGAGCAAGAGTAAATACCACGCTTGATTAACAATAATTAATATGAGTAGCTTTTTCGCTAAAGATGAATTTGTTATACAATAAAGCATATATAAAGGAGCAAATTGTTCGTAGGAGGAACAGACACCACTTCACGTCGCTTCTCGCCTGGGTAACGTCGATATTGTGATGTTACTGTTGCAACATGGTGCGGGCGTAGATGCTACAACGAAAGATTTGTATACACCGCTTCATATCGCTGCTAAAGAAGGCCAGGAGGAGGTAAGATTATGAAATGTTATATATAAGAGAATGTCCTAAATCGGACCGTGTTCCAAATTGTATGGACCTTTTTAATTTAAATAAATACGGTTAAGCAGATTTGCGTGCTATTTATAATGTAAAATCGTTATAAGACATGTGACAACAGTTTGGCAGTACTCCGTCACAACGTTCATAGAATAGACGCAAATATGCATTTTCGGCTATCATGCGAAAATTTTTTTTAAAAAGAAATTCTTGTAAATCCTTATTTTTAAAATGTTAAAAATTTGAACGGTAATTGATTTAAGATAATTAAAGAGTATAGAATACAAAAATATCAAAAGTTTTGTGATTATTTCTGCGGTTTATTGTAAAATTTATTCCAATAATTCGAAAGAATCCAAATCGGACCTCTTTTTAAGTTGAGTATCCAAATCGAATCTATACAAAAAACACTAAAAAGACAAGTAAGCCAGCTAATTCATCGAAGAAAGAAGGTTTGTCACAACCTGGTTGTAGTACTACTGGTGATCGACAGATCCGGTCTAAAGAACACTAAATCAATAAAATATCATGTATCATCAGATTGATGGATTTTTTAATTAAATTTTTTTTTAATATTAGGTATAAACTATATTTTTATCTTTGAGTCTTAAATTGCTCGTTTTTACTCAACACTAACAAAAATTAATTAAAATATTTTATAATTCTATTTAAAAGTCCATAAAAATCGGATCGGAAAATGCATTTTTACATTTTCCATTATACATAGTTCGACACAGGTAAGAGATACTTCAAAATGGTCTAAAGCAAAAATGAAGAAAATTAAATGATTTGTCGAACGGTACCATTGATTTTATGATCGAATTTTATTTACGCCTTATAGGCCGATATTCATAGTCGGTTCTTATTTCAAGACTGCCTTAAGTAATGTCTTAAGATGCTAAAGCGGCCCTCTGATTGGTTCGTAACTCTTCAAGACTGAACTTAAGACGGTCTTGAATATATAAGAACTGACTATGAATACCAGCCATAGAGAACAAAAACTGTAAATAGGTCCGATTTACACGACTCTCCCCTATATATGTATAACATATGAGATATATTTCTTTCATAACGTGTTTCTATGATCACACAGGTTGCATCCGTTTTATTAGAAAATAACGCCTCGCTTACCGCAACGACCAAGAAAGGATTTACTCCCTTGCATTTAGCGGCCAAGTACGGCAATATGAACGTAGCTCGATTGCTACTACAAAAGAATGCGCCTGTTGACGCTCAAGGAAAGGTAAGCATATTTAAATTTAACATTTGAAGATCAAAGTAATTGTAAAAAAGTTATTTTGCACGCATTATGCCACATTATTTTATACGTCGTAACAAGCATTTTTGTTTTGTCTGTGCAGAACGGAGTAACGCCACTTCATGTAGCCTCTCATTACGATCATCAAAACGTGGCTTTACTTTTACTCGATAAAGGAGCTTCACCACATGCCATGGCTAAGAATGGTCATACACCATTGCATATCGCTGCACGCAAAAATCAGGTACGATCATACAACAGTAATTATTAAGAGTGATAACAAATATAAAATTACTTTTGCTTTTAACAGATGGATATTGCAACTACTTTGCTGGAATACGGAGCGAAAGCTAATGCAGAATCAAAAGCGGGCTTCACACCGTTACATTTGAGCGCACAAGAAGGCCATACTGATATGTCAACCCTTCTTATCGAGCATAAAGCAGACACGAATCACAAAGCGAAGGTAAATGAAAAAAGAACACAATGTAATTTTCAACTACCTTTTATTTACAAAATCTTACGTTATATTTATTTTTACACTTTACAGAATGGCCTTACGCCTTTACATTTATGCGCACAAGAAGATAAAGTAAACGTCGCCTCCATTCTTGTCAAGAATGGTGCTCAGATTGACGCTAAAACTAAGGTAACATAATTAATAAGTTCTTTTGTACTATACGCTTAAATTTGTCAAAGTAACTTGCGTAGTTAAAGATAAGTTTTTGTTCTAATCACATAATAATATCGACTACGATTGTGTCTTTAGTTACAGTATGTTAGCGATTTATGCATAATTAAATTAACGTAGATGACGTAATCTTCACAAGTGATTGTTCATTGCTCTATATTGTCCATTGATAACTTTGAAACAACACCTATCTCCATAACACAGTAGTAGTAGCGTGACTGCTGTTGGTCTTAAAGCATCTCGTTATCATTGGATTAAATAGTAAAATAGTTTGTGAAACTTTATAAAATTTAAACTTATAATTGTTACATAGACGTTACATGCAATAATACAAAAAGAGGTCTTATGTCTTGTCGTATTTTCTTTAGGCTGGTTATACGCCATTGCACGTGGCATCTCACTTTGGTCAGGCAGCTATGGTAAGATTTCTCTTAAAATCTGGTGCTGCTGTTGACAGCAGTACCAATGCTGGTTATACTCCTCTCCATCAAGCCGCGCAACAAGGACATACGCTCGTTATTAATTTGTTATTGGAAAGTAAAGCTAAACCGAATGCTGTAACCAACGTGAGTTTTATTCTACGTATTTCATATTGAATAAATTTATCGGTAGCTATCAGAATACATTATAATCATATACTCGATGTAAATTATTTTTTCACAGAACGGACAGACTGCTTTAGATATCGCACAAAAGCTCGGTTACATAAGCGTCATTGAAACGTTGAAAGTTGTCACAGAGACTATCATCACAACAACTCATACCGTCACTATTGAAGAGAAATACAGAGTTCAGGCACCCGAATCCATGCAGGAGACATTTATGAGTGACAGCGAAGATGAGGGCGGTAAGTATTCGTATTTAATCACTAATATCTTTTTGCTGCTTTACTATTTCTATTTGCTACATAATTTATTGATAAAGGTTTGCGATATTGGAACAAAACAAACTGTTATAAAAAAAATAATATATATTTTAATTTTTGAGCCACATACTAATATTGTTTTTGTTATAAAATTTAACAAGAATAAGATATTGATAATGTTGCAGTTGTTTCAGAAACAATTTGTTTCTGATATCGCAATAAATTTTGCAAACATATTTTGACAGCTTATCGCTTAGCATAATTATTTTGCCTTGCATATTCAAATTCTAACATTGACATAAAATAGAGTTGATACATGCGAGAGAAAGTAAAATTAATAGCACAACAATGCTTTTGCTTAAGCTGATAATACGCGTAGAAGTAATAATATCTAACAAACTTTTTTAATCCTTGAGATGAAATTATATCTTTTTAAATATTATCTATATTACTGCGTAAACAGCACATTATCACATATTATCGTGTTATATAGATAAAATAAAATGCATAGGTTTTAAAACTACGAAGCTTTTTGGTAGATGCATGTCAAGAAGATAAAATTTTAATAAATCATTGCATGGAGGAAACTTAATATAAAAGAATTATAAAAAATATAGGAGAAAGTACAAGTACTTAGTATGCTTATTGATACAGGTAAATATTCGATTAATTCGAAGTAATACGAAGATTAGATAGAAGTAATGAATTAGCAATAGAGTTCTGAGAACAAAACAGTCGCAGGTCCGCGTGCATGACACAAAAACACTACATTAGGATATAAAACTGAAGTTAGCTACCCAATAGAAACTGATACCCTTTCCCGATCCATATGACCACAACGGTAAAAACTATATATACGAGATAGTCGAGATAAATTAAATTTCGAATTTCAAGAAAAGAAAATTAGCTCTATCTATCAAAGAGGTTCAGTTTCTTAGTTATCTATTAAAATTATCAAATGTTTAATGGAATCATTTGCTTGATTGTTGCGTTTATGTTATTTTGCAAAGGCATGCACTTAGCCAATATTCACTGGGTTGTACATAATATTTTTATTGAAATTAAAAAGTAAATGATTGTAAAACTCTCTAATCTGCAAGGTATGCATACTTAAGAATAACATACAAATCAAGTATTTCCAACAGGAAACAGAGTTCGGGATTGTCTAATTATTGTTGACTACTAAATTATCAACTTGATATTAATGAACACATATTAATTAAAGGATCATCTAATTTATCTAATAATGTATATATTGATACGGAGCGCTTGTAGATGTGTGTAAAAATTTCCTATTAAAAATTTAATTGTTTTAATTATTTCCGACAGTAGGAACATTTAAATATCCTAGTAGTCGAGCGCGTAGAAAGATGTATTTGTGTGCCTAGAAGAAAATAAAGGTAGTTCTCTATCAGTTCGTAACTTAGCGATACTCTGTCTGCTTACTGAACAAGCCAGAATCCGCGTACGTCTCATTCTTGACTCCTTCGATGTTAGTTTTTTTTTAACAACCCAGTGATAGAGAGCGAAACTTAGAAAAAAGAACAAACAAACAGTGTATATGGTGCGAAATTAGCGTTCTGATAAAATCATGACCTTACCTCGACGGCGTGTACGATGTATGTAGGTGGTGATGAAATCGGCACGGCAGCCATGAATGTGTACGGGCAGCCTCCGCACGCGCAACACGTGTACCTTCCTTCTTACTACCAGGGCCAAATGACCTATACCCGTAAGTTGTCTGTACTCTGTTTCTGTTACAACACTCTCTTTGTCTTCACGCGTTCCGACACGGAACGTCATCGCGGCAAATATTATACGTAGATTATACATTATATACGTATGTACACGCTAGCACTGTCGTATAAGAACGACGTAATTGTGAGAAGATGTATCATTATTAATTGTCGTTCTTTTGCTGATCCCGCATAAAAATTTCTTAAAATCTTCTCCAATACAGATTCCGATCAGAATGCCTACACGCGAATCAATCTAAAGCTATAATAAGTGCACTGATACTTATTGCAATATTAATTAGGGATAATTTATATATTCATTTTTATCTTAAATATATGAGTTTTCTATCTAGAGAATTGTAACATTATTATTTTTATACAAAGTATCGAATTCGGTAAAATTGAGAATAAAAATTACATTAATATATTGACACTGTAATTATATTTAATTACTATTATTATTAGTACTTCAAATAGTACTAGTTATAAAAAATATTATAAATGAAATATGAATATTATGTAATTCACTTTAATAAGCAAAGAAAGAAATAATAATTCCAACATAAGTCATTTTTATTAATATACTAAAGATAAGTTAATATTCTTCCTTAAATTTTTCTAACAATAACATTGCATTTTTGTTTAAAATCTTAAAAAAAAAAAAATTTTTTTTAATTCGAGAAAGAGCAAAAACGGAATCCTCTTTCAAACTTTCTTTTTTTTTTTTCATCTAATTTACGATCGCATTTGCAAAACACTTCTGATTTGAATCTTCATAGATTTTCCAAACAGAGTCCATTATTCTTTTGAGAAATCAGATCGACTCCCAATTAGATCGTAAAACGTTTTCTATGTAGGAGCAGCTGCTTCGTTATTTTTGACGATTAGAGCATCGTGACGTAGCGGCATACGACATTGTAGTATCGATCATCGTCGTCATCGTTATTATTTCGCCGGCAGCGTTCGTATGTACATTCGCATCTCGGATCACGTTCCACTCTTTCACGAGTACATTTCGAGCTAATCGAACGTTCATACATCAAATCTGCATACAGAGACACGCACAGACACAACTATTCCTCGCCCGCTATTTTTGTCACACATGTAGTGTTTTAGCATTTATCTTCCTATCATCCTCTCTTTTTCTTCCCCTAAATCTTTTATTTTTAATAGCAGTAATCCGATGATATACGAAATTACACTGTACGAACTGTATTCTAAATATTCAAGTTACACATTTTGATTTCTATAATTATATTTTTCTTCCAAGAAATCGAAAACGTTCTATTATAAAAGAAGACAATTTAATAAAATTACATTTTACTATTTTAATATTAAAAATCTCTAAAAAAAAGCGTTGTTAATAATATAATTATAATTTTATTATTTTAATATGAAATTTGAGAAACTTGATACACACGTGATTCAGTCGATCGTATAACACGATGTCACTTACATTAGAGATTATAATACATCTAATGCATTGTTTAGTGCATTTTCTTAAGATTCATTTTCTTAACCGCGGAAATGTTTAAACGCGAATAATCTTAAATTTCTGACATATTTAGAATATCTATAATATAGTTTTGATATTGTTATATAAGTTTTCTTATATATAATATAATATAATATGTATACCAGAGAATACTTCGCGATTGCGTAAACATCGATGCGTGTTTCAGTTATGCATTCTCGGCGCAATCCATGCAGTCTTATAACTATTACGCCATCACATAAAAAGCAATATGTGATTGTTATCACTATCCCGTGTATGATAAATGGACGACATTCTTTCGTTACCGGCAGCTTCAACAAACAACGTAGAAACTGCTTTTGCTCTTATTTATTGGAACAAATATTTCAAAGCGTGTGAGTTAAACGATACGAGTATCGGAATATTTATTGCCGTAAGTAAAAAATTATAAATGACGCTCTTAGAAAACATGAATAATAAAAAATATGAATTTTGCAATGTTAATATTTACAGCAGACATATCGAGGTACAAGGCTCAAAAGAGTTTCTTAGCAAAATTAAAAGGTTTCTCTGAGTATGTATAATATATGTAAATTATAAAGTAATATACACATACAAGAGTATGTATGTATATATGATGAGATGATGATGATCCTTTTATCTCCTCATGTGGAGTATAGGATATCTACAGGCTTCTTCCACTTTTGTTTGAGACCTATATTCGTTTCTTATATCGGTTTTTTTTTTTTCGGATTTGCGGGTGATTGATCCACAGAATTCTATCTTACTCAGATATTAGAGCATATATTATCTAGTGACATATATATATATATATATATAATCTTTTATATGTGTGTATATATATATATAGGACCTACAATTTAACGCCGAATCCGAACAACACTGATGATCATAGATCTTTTTGATCATTAGGTGGAGCCATTCTCGGCTATCGTGTTTGGGCGAAGGTGGGATTGAACACTCGGGTCCACAGATCGCGAGTCAATCGCACTGAATGATAAACCACTCGACGCTACATGTATATATATAAATTTTTAATTTCAAAAAATGTTTTATGCGGATATCACGTTTAATCAACATAAACGTTTCCATTGTTTTCGCATTTGTTTACATGAGATTTATATTCAATTTATCTATGCTAATCTAGTAATCTCCAGACTTATTCTCGGATTTTTCTAACTTTCCGCACAAATGTTGGAAGTGTCAAAAGAGTGAACACACTAAATTACTCGCAACTACATCGGAAGTAAAGAAGCCCACGAATTTAACTCTGCAGGGGGATCTGGTCTTCTGGTTGAGATGCGACTTTACGTACAGCGTAAAAGCAACGGGGCTCTGATGTAATTTACATAATAACGAGCCGCGCGATCGCTATGCCAGCCAACCGAGGCGCGCTTCGACGTAGTTCTCGTCGACGTCGTCGTTACCATCATACGTATCATTGTTGTAGTTGTACCTACCACACGATACCACCCTCCACTTCAGCTACCTGTTATGCAACCGCCGCGGCGTGCGTATCACAGCCGCGTTATTAGTGCAGTCAGTTCAACCCCTGCCGCTTGGCGTGCAGCCAAACACACGGATCCCGGACTGAAATAATCTCGTATTTATATAACGTTACACGCGCGGCGGCAGCCGATTAAGAGAAGAAACAGAGAATAAATAAAGCGTGTGAATTGTAACGCACTCACGCACGCGTCGCGTCGACGCCCACGCTTGTACTTGCCGCGTGAACAATATCGCGTCTACCGAGCGCATTTTAAACGAGGTCGATCGTAATCGACTGAAAATAATACCGGCGAATTTGAGAAACTGCCGAAAGAAACGATTCTTCGTCGCATAAAAGAAATGGATCGTTTTTCGCCCGCTATATGATATATTCGAATTAGCTGCATTCTCACTTGTGATCGTAATTAAATTCGTACAACTGATCAATTTGTTATACCGCGAATGAAAAGGACCATCATGCTAAACGACAATAAGTAATTCTATCGATCCCGTTATCTCGCACTGAGCGAGAGCTTCCGACTTTATTTTGCACATTGAACCTTGATCTTATACGATATATAACGTGATTACAAGTTTATAGCTTTATCTACTAATTGGCGCCGCTACGATTTCATCATATAAATCGCTGGTGAAATAAATCCTTCTCCTCGCGTGTTCTCGCGTCGATCCTTCTCATCAGCGGCAAAGAAAAGTGCCGCGATGCCGATGGCTACTCCGGTGTGGCGGATAAATAAAGTGGCGGGAAAAGCTCAAAGGCAGCTACTATTATAAAATTGGTGATTCATAGAATGAGGTCACGTTCCTCAACGAGCGAGTTGCCGGTCGAACCTCTGTATCAATCTTCCTTGAATAGTCGCTGTTTCTGACCCCCATCGACGCCACCGCCGCGAGCACGCGCGTGAAAATAAAGGAAGTATTCAACGCACCCGTGCTTAACGCAATTAAACGAATTGGATCTAATCGAGTGGATGCTTAGCCGCCGCGCCGCGCCGCGCCGGTCGCCCCATCGACCGTGTGCAAGTGCGCGATATTCAAAGTGAGGCCACGGCCTACGGGCTGATAAGCCGCGCACGGCCGATCAGCCATCGTCGTACGATAAGCAACGAAACAGCGAGACACGTCGATCAATTTCCCGAGGAAAAGAAAAATGAAAGAAAAGAGAGAAATATCGGTAACACGTTGTCTGTTATCACCCTACGATTTGTCGTAGGTGCGTGGTAAATATATCGGGTCGCTGCATTTTCTATTCATTCCATACTACCTGCATATCGAGTGCTGCACGCGTTGCATACAAAGTTCCGAACGGTCTATCGGACGGCTCGTCGCGATAGTGCATCAGTGGGCTAACGACGCTCGAGAGGATACGAAACGCTTCCTCCAGGAGGGAGAGAACGAACTCTACTTCTCTATAAGAGAGAAAAAGGAAGAGAGAGAAACGCATCGGCGAACATGGCCAAGGGAAGAACGAAGAAAAAGAGATTCACGTGCGGCTGTTCGTGCGGGTGTGGCAGCAGGAACAGTGATGTATTATGTAAATATCGTGCATCTGTTGCGTTATACACGTCACTTATGCCACCGTATCCAATCGCTCGCGCAAGCGAAAATCGCGAAACAGACGAACGCGAATTTTTTCCCTCTTTGATCGTTTTAGGGTAAAACACCGCTATATTATATTGAAAATCAAACAGATCGTAATGTAAAACTTTGTAATAATAATTTGGATATTTATCACCGATAAGAAATTAAAAGGGCTTAATAAAAACGAAAATAACAAATGGAATCTATTTCAAATAAGTGAATTCCCTTAAGATTACGTTAAGCTTTGAGATCTGATTCTTTATAAATTTCTCAATCAAACTCCATGAATTTTTTGTAACTATAATTGGACTAATTACATCACAGAAATCTTCCTACATTTTACATGTGTTTGCTATTGAAAAAAAAATCAAAAATCACTTATAACTTTGTTTCTTTTGATCAATTTTAAATAAA